ATATATATATATATATATATATATATATATATATATATAAAGTGCATTACACACACAAGATAATAAATTATTTTTAAATACTTTAGAGATTCCTGTACGTGTATACAAAGAGTCGAATATAATAATATCTGGTGGTGTGAGGATTCATGGTCTTATGGCCACTCCTATATTTCGACGCAAACCAATGGAGAGTCCTGTTCTTGAAGAGTATAAATTTGTAGCTCATCGCGATAAAGCTAAAGTTTCTTTTGAGGATGGAATAATTTTGTCGACACATCTCGTCCTGGAGTACCATCAAACATCAAAAGTAGACATTATCGAATTTATTGAAGACGGTGACGAAATAATAATACAGGAATTAGTCTCTCCAATATTTGTTCAAGTCTTGACAAATTTGCCCCTCATTCAGCCCAACATTACTCTAGTGAAAAGGACTACTTTTTTCGATAACATTACACTTCCCCCAAAAATCACAGTTTCGCAGTCGAAGAAGTTGTCGATCAAAAACAACGCAGTATTGGTCGCAGGCTGTAATTTATTAACAAGGAGTAAAAATGAAATTTTAAAAGAAATCTTACTAATATTAAAAGCTGACGGGTTTTTGTTGACACGAGGGCAGTCACTCACGAAGGAGGAGATCGCAAATGCCGAAAGGTACAATCTAAAAGTTGTACTTGAAAAACAAACAGAGAACGAGTATATTACGCTCATGAAGAAGAGAGGACGGCCAATAAGTAAAACAGAAGTGATATGCGTAAACAATTACGAATTCTCTTGGCTAGAACAACTTAGATCAGTTCTAAGTGCGGAGAACGAATTGGCTAGGTCTACAAGAATTATTATAGTTGGAGAGAGGAATGCAGAATGCGGCTTATTAGGTCTCGTTAACTGTTTGAGGAAAGAACCCGGTGGTGAATTAATTAGAGGAGTATTCATTCAGGATGAAAACGCACCGAAATTTTCATTTCAAGATCCTTTCTATGCAGAACAACTTCAGATTGATCTAGTTATAAATGTCTTACGCCCGGGGAAAATATGGGGATCGTATCGACATCTTCCGTTAGCTCCTCTGAAACCTAAACTCGTACATCATGCCTTCGTCAACCAAATGGTAAGAACGCTTATTGGATAAATTAAAATATATTTTTCATTTTGCCACATCCTTGTATTAAAAAATTATTTCATAAATTGTCCTATCTATCATAGAAAATTATGCAAGGATTATAACATTCTTAGGTGCTCGGTGATTTAAACTCGCTTCGTTGGATTGAAGGTACGATCACTTCAAATTGTCAACACGAAGATCTCGTTAACATCATTTACGCTCCCCTTAACTTTAGAGACGTAATGTTAGCAACTGGTAAAATCATGGAAGGCATACTGTCACGAGGACGCTTAGAGGATTGCATGATAGGTTTCGAATATGCCGGTATTGATAATACTGGTCGCAGAGTAATGGGAATTTACGAGACTAAGTTTGTTACTATTATACTTTTCTGTTTTGATGAAAATAACTATAAAATAATATTATATGTGTTTCTTTTTTCAGATGCATGTCAAATAAAATATTAACCGATAAATATTTATCATGGCAAATTCCGGACGAATGGTCTCTCGAGGATGCTGCGACGGTTCCATGTGTTTATGGGACATGTTATTACGCATTGTACCTTCATGCGAAATTAAAAAAAGGTGAAAGAATCTTGGTTCACTCGGGTACTGGTGGTGTAGGTCAAGCTGCGATTCATATTGCGCTTCACGACGGTTGCGAAGTATTTACCACCGTTAGCACTTTGGAGAAACGAAGGTTCATAAGAGAAAACTTCCCGTCTATCCCTGAGGATCATATCGGGTATTCCCGTGACACTAGTTTCGAACAGATGATATACCAACAGACCAACGGACGTGGTGTGGATATCGTATTAAATTCTTTAGCTGAAGACAAACTTCAAGCGTCTGTACGTTGTCTCGCAAAAGGCGGACGTTTCTTGGAAATCGGGAAGTTTGATATGATGACTAATAATACTTTGGATATATCGGTCTTTTCAAAAGGGATTACATTTTACGGTATAATGTTAGACAAACTTTTCACCGCTGAAGATGAGCGGAAACAAACTTTATATACGGCACTAGCTACTGGTATTGAAAGTGGAGCCGTTAAACCAATTACTAGAAAAATTTTTCAAAAGGACGAATTAGAAGCGGCCTTTAGGTACATGGCAGCTGGAAAACACATCGGAAAGGTAAAGTGAATAGCAGCTATTATTATGAATTGTAATTATGGCCAACAAGCATATATGTATACAAAACGAAAAGAGATGGAGTATAAAATGTAGTAAGACTGGTTTTGTTATACTTTCAGATAATTATAAAAATACAAGAAGAAGAGAATTTCAAAGACGTGCCTATTCTTGCTTTACCGCGTTACTATTGCTTGGCGAATAGGTCATATATTATCCTTGGAGGGCTGGGTGGTTTTGGTATGGAACTAGCCGATTGGTTAGTCATTCGGGGTGCTAAGAACCTCGTGATGATTTCACGAACAGGAATAAAAAATGGTTACCAACGTATGAAAATTAAGCAATGGAAATCTTACGGTGTGAAAGTATTAATCATATCAAACGTTGATGCATCAAATGTCAAAGATTGCGAACGGATGTTGAAAGCAGCGGAGGAGCTAGCGCCAACCGACGCTATATTCAATCTGGCTGTACTACTGAATGACAAGATTTGTCCCAATCATACGATAGAGACATTCCAAGAGCCTTTCAAAGCAAAAGCATGGGCAACGGAGTACTTAGATCAATTGTCGCGAAAAATATGTCCACAGCTCCGACATTTTGTCGTCTTTTCTTCCGTATCATGCGGTAAGGGCAACGCTGGACAGACCAATTATGGAATGGCGAATTCTATCATGGAAAGAATCTGCGAAAGGAGGTCGCAGGAAGGCTTGCATGGTCTGGCGATTCAGTGGGGCGCAATCGGCGATGTTGGTATTTTAGCCGACATGCAGGAAGACGACAAAAAGATGATCATCGGCAGTACGTTGCAACAAAAGATAAGATCCTGCATCGAGAAGCTCGAGGAATTTTTGTTGCAAGAGCAGCCTGTAGTGACGAGTATGATTGTGGCTGAGAAACACATAGACGGTGGCTCAATCAATATTATCGACACTATTGCCAACATCATGGGTAAATATGTAATATTATTAAAATAAAAAGAATTAAGTTAAATTCTTTTTGTAGATAAATGCATAAATAATAGACATTTGTGTAAGTCAATAATTGCATCCAATTGTGAATGTCGTAGTATGAATACTGCTACAAATCCAACATTAACTTTATTCGATTAAGGGCCGATTTTTCACAATGATAGTTTAAACTTAGATTTCAACTTAAACTCTGTTTAAACAAAACAAACGCATTATTAGAATAGAATTTAAACCTGAATGAAGTTTTAACTGCTATTGAAAAATTGCCCCTAAGGGAAATTCGATAAAAGACGCGTTCGGGCAGCACGTTGACAGCGCTATTTAGTACCATCACTGTTCGGGAAGCTAGTTAGTAGCACCACCAATCATTATCGTGACGTCACTGACGGTAGGGTTCTCCGTTATGACTTCGCGCTACCAACACTGCCGCTTCCGTGGTGCATTGATAGCGTTAGCGATTGCAAGCTCTCCGAACAGCGGTAGTGAATTGTTCGTTCTACGTGTGTATCCTTATTCCCTGCATATTAAGTTTCAGATTTTTATTTGCTTTACATGTAAAACATCGTTGGCTTTACATATAAAAAATGAATTATATGGAAATCCGATTACAAGATGCAAAATCACAAAAATTTATAAGCTTAATTTAACCACTCAATAGGGCGGCTCTTAACTCTGGCTATTGCTGTTCATGAAACTCGCATTCGCTAGCACTATCTTGGCTTTATGAGTTGGTAATATTAGGGTTGATAGCGTAGTAGCGAGCTTTCCAAACGCACCCGAAGTAAAATAAAATCTTGGATGTTTGTTAATAGGTTTGAAAGATTTGAATACTGTATCTCATCAAGCACGTTTCTCTGAACTTGGGATGGACTCGATGATGGCAGTGGAAATTAAACAGTCCTTAGAACGGGAGTTTGGAGTTTTTCTCACTGCTCAGGATATTCGTAATCTGAATTTGGCCAAACTCATTGAAATGTTTAACCAAGAAGCTAAGACTGAGAAATTGCGTTCCGATGATATTTCAGATGCAAACAACTTGGTTGGTGTAAAATTACTTGTCCGTATGATAGATAAAGTCTGTGCAACACCTGACGTATGTATGAATCTACCAACAAAAGGCGATATAACGAGGAACGAGATATTCCTATTGCCAGGAATCGAAGGTTGTGGAGATATTTTCAGTTCACTGGGTTCAAAAATAGAAGCTCCAGCGACATGCTTACAATATGGAACTTATAATACCGGCAAAAGTTTTAGTACGATAGCCGAAATCGCTGACAATGTTTTAAAAGTATGAGTCCTTAATTTCAGTACAATTACATATCATAAAGTATAAGAAATAGTATTACATTGTAGCATAACATAATGTGGCATTCACAAGTTCTTTCTTTTTACTTTCTTCTACATTTCGCCGTCTTCCAGCATATGATGAACAGAATCAAATCTAAACGAGACTTTTTAATAATTGCCTACTCATACGGAACATTAATTGCTATTGAGTTAGCAAGGAGATTGGAAGGAATGCTTCTCCGAGGCCGACTAATACTTATCGACGGCGCACCTGAGCAGCTAAAAATATTGGCAGATCAATTTATAACTAATACCACAATTAACGAAATTCAAAATAATACTCTCCTAAATATAATGGATTTTTTAAATCCGGCAGTTAGTGGGAAGGTATTTATTGTTATTGACATTATTTTTAAATATTCGTAAATTTTTTTTAGAAAAATCAAATAACTGGATCATTCTACAGCTCCTCTTAGAATTAAATAAATGTGTGAGTTGGGACGACAAGTTGAATATATTTATAAACCATCTTTCTACAACAAATAAGGGATTATCATCCGACTTTACAAGAGCTTTATGTGTAACAATTTACAACCACATACGTGCTATCCATGCATATGACGTAGTACAACAACCGAAAATTATATCACCTATAATACTTCTAAAGCCAACTCTGCAGTCGTTGCGTTTGCCTGATGAAGACTATGGTCTACATAAAGTACTTGACATGACGTTTCTTAGAACGTAAGCTGCATACGTGTAAGAAAAATTTTAATGAACCATGATATTTTCAGATTACTACAGGAAACGTGGAAGTACATTACGTGGAAGGTACTCATGTTACCATGTTAGACAGCGACAAAGTTGTAGCTGCTATCAACAAACAATATACCAAAGTACCAGTGGAAAACAGTCAATTATACACTGAGAGAAAAAAATAGAATAACTATAATCTCACTATATTTTATAGTTAGTTTTGTCCTCAAACATATATTTAAAACAATGTAATATAATAAACAACAATATGTTATATTACATTTACATTGTTGAATACG